TTCTCACCAGGACTTGCAGGTGGATCCAGACACTGCAACATCAGCAGATGAAATGCATCACCCCGAGAGTCAACCAGAGGCACAACCTCCTTCGATTCCGTCTACAGCGGATCTTTTGAAAGAGTTCGAATCCACGTTATCTGGACTAAACCCTGACGGCAGCAAAGATACGGAAAACAATGTGCCGCACACAAACGAAAGTTTGCTTACACAAGAGCCTTCCGCGACGAAACTAGATCAAGGGGGGGATGAGATTGGGGACGGAGTCACACAACAAAGCGAAACTGCATCCTGGGCATCTCGAAGTATCCCACGTCCGCTTTCAACGGCAGGTACCCATACCGCCAATGAAAACGAGAGCAACCCAGCTGCAGTCGTACTCACTGGTGATCTCATCAATGCCGAAAGCGCTCCAATGCCTATGCCGGCAGTGACGGACCTCCTGCAGGACTTTGAAACGACTTTGAATCGTTTGGCAGAAGCTCCAGAGGAAGCCCGCGCGAACGCCGAGCCTGACAGGAGTCTTTTGCAAGGTGCCGCCTCGGACAACCGTGCTCTCTCTCCCCAAGTTGAAACCTCATATGAGTTTCACCCTGTTGCCCAAATCCCTGCGGGCTCCATAGAAAGGTACTCGTCCACTCTAGACGGCTCCGAAAGGGGATCACACCAGACGGAGCCCGACACGAGCGATTTGATGTATGAATTCGAAGAGACTCTTAAGCGGTTGTCGGGAGCTGAGGACGGGAACGAGAGCATTCCTCCTTCCATTGCAGCTGCGATTCCCTCTGAACATGGCGAAGTCGTAGAATCGGCAAATGTTGGCGCAGCCAGCAGTCTATCGGAGCATGGAAGACTCTCGGCCGAAACTACGGCGTTAGTTCACGAATTAGAAGAAGCAAAGGAACAACTCAAGCGGTCCCTTGTTGGCAACAATGAATTGCAGAAGTCCTTGGAAACGCTACGCGAAGAAGCTCACAGCGCAAGGTGCGAGAAGGTTGCTGCCGTGACTGCGCTCCAGAAATTCGAGGAACAAAAGGAGCTTGTTCTGTCTTTCAACAATGGCCTTCTCGAACAGATTTCTTCTCTGGAAAAGAATATGAAAGAGAAGGAATTGCTCGTGCGAGATGGAAAAGAAAAATACGATACCTTAGTAGCTCAGAAGACGTCTCTGGAGTCCCAGCTCAACCAGGCAAGGCAAGAAAAAGAGCAGCTGGAAGTTGCCTTGTCAGAATCTAGAGCGGCAATCGTCACAAGCGAGGCAAGAGTAGCGGAGGCGGTTGATTCCGTGATGAGGATGAAGGTAGAAATTGACGTTCTTGTCCAGTCGAAAGATGATGAAAAGCGGGCCAGTGCCTTGAGGGAGGAAAAACTAGCAGAGGAGAATGAGGGTTTGATCGATGAATTGATAAAAACTCGGGCAGCATGCGAAGAGGCATCGGCTCGATTAGAAGAAAAATCTGCGCTGATTCTTGGTTTCGAAGAAGAGCGAAAGAAGCATCTTCAGGATAATCGCATTCTCACCAGGTCGTTGGAGGAGGCGCAGGCGGATGCAGCCGCAAGAGTTGCACAACTGGAGGAGTCAATGACCGTCAACGATAGGCTAATTGTCAACATGAAAATGCAGATGGATTCCCTTCGAGGGATGTAACCTTTCCGCCGATTCCTCGAGAGCGCCGTCGCTCGCGCCTAAGGACACCGAACTTGGTCTTGCCGCGGTGCCCTCTTCTAGATGTTGACCGTGTTCCATGGTTCCTGCTTCGATTTCGGTCCTTGGGCATTGGCCATTTTCTACCTCAGGCAGATGCTGATTGCGCACTTCTGCATTCTCGACCACGGCGGGATCGCTGTCTTCCTTTGTCTGAGTTGAAGTGCTCTGTGCGATGGCCTCTTCGCCCACATTAGACGATACGTGGAGACTAGGTGGCGGCTGGATTTGGTTGACTGTTCCCGAATGCAATTTTGTTTCTTGTGCTGTAGATTCGTCACACGGGAACCCAGCAGTTGGATTGGTTTTGTGAAGACTTTCAGATTGCACGATGCTGACGATTTCGCTTTCATTCGGCGAAGACTGCATGTCAAGATTTTTTTCCGATTTTGCTGGCTCTTGCTGTTCATCAGAAATGCCCGACTTCTTCGCATTCGCGGAGTGCAGGGAAGGAAAAATCTCCGCTTTCATAACGATGATGCTGCCAAAGCCCGAACCGAATGATTTTGGTGACTTGCCGCCGTGGACAGCACTTTTCAGAAGCTCGGCAACGTTGGTGGAAAAGAAACCCAAAGGGGATCGACGGGTCCCTGCTTGCAAGCTGTAGACCGAAACTCGTAAGGGCCTTTTCAGGTCCCCGCCGCATATTGCCTCAATATCAATCGCTGCTTCTCTCCATTTCGGGTTTAATGACTTCGGGATGTGCTCTGAACGATATACTTGATCCATTGATTTCCCGTTGGATGCTGAAATCTGAAACAGTGGATTCATATCCGAAGACCCTGTGGTCCGTCCGATGTACTTGAGGCCTTTCCCTCTCAGGGTCAGGAAGAGCATTGGAGGTCCTTTTGGATCGCGTTCGACTGTTGAGGGGATTTGAATTTCCATGGGCAAAATCTCAGGATTAATGTCACTGGCCTTGGGTTCATCAGGCTCTTCCTTCATTTGAATGATTTGCAAGAACCTATTGGCAACATCTGGCAATAGGCTGCTGGCGTTCGTGAACACACTTTCGGCTGATTTTGAGTGTCGCGACGCTAGGTCGGCACGACTACCATCGTCATCCTGATTCTCACGACTCTTGCCTGGTTCATCGCCATCGCCTGGGAAGTTTCCCTGCAACGCGCTCATGAAGATATTCTGCAACTTGGCAAGCGGTTCTTCTTGCGGGCCAGTGTCCATGTCGCGAGAGGATCCACCATCTGAGCCTTGCCCCTCTGCGGACGCCTCGTCAGCGCTCTCTTGTTGGGGAGATCCAAAGGTAGATCGTAAATTGGCGCAACGAATTGTCCCGTCCAATTCTTGGGACTCCGCGGACATGCTGTTGATTATTGTAGTTAGACCAGTCGCAAGCCCATGCTGCATGTCATGCCCCTGTTCTGCCCACCCCTTGGCCCTCCCAGTATCCGTCCCCGTTTCTGATTCTCCCATTCCCAGTCCCCACTCTTCCATGACCCCCGACAGCGATGTCGTCACTTCCACGACGTGACCTGTAATATCGGAAATGAGTGAATTATTGTCGTCGTCACCGTCCTCATCCTGGCCATCGCCGCTGGGTATACGAAACAACGATTGGTCCGTAGCATTCAGTTGGTTCGTTTGCTGTAGCATATCATCGTTGTCTGTTGGTGCTAGTAGGACTTGTTCGTTGTCATCATCTTCACTGCTACTGCTGCTGATCGAAACATCCAGGTCCTCGGGTAATGTTGCATGGATCACTCGAACCGTCCCGTAGTGCTTCGTCCCATCTTTTGATTTGGGAATGAAAAAGACGTCTTCGGGGTGTTTGGCAGCCCGTTTCAATTCCATGACGGAGGTATCAAAATATCCCATGGGGACAGGAGGACCCGTGGTTGCTGCTGCCAAAATGTTGTTATCGTCTCGCTTGCTAAAGATGTAAATACGAAACTTTCGCTGCAAGTCTCCTCCACATAGCAGGTAGAGTGGGATCTTGGCCGACTTCCATACGGGTGTGACGCAATCCTCGAGTGCTTCACTGCGATAGACTTGTTGTTGCCATTTGTTGGTGGATTGTGTGTTGGAGGATGCGGTGGTCAAGATGGAAATGCTATCGTCATCTGCTGCCGCTTGATGATGATGATGTTGTGGACTACGGATTGTGGATACTTGAAAGTATGGATTGGTTGCCCCCAGCAGTGTCCCCAAATGTGCTGTTGTGGCCTGGAACCAACCGGCATCACTCCCCATGTCCATGTCTTCCTCCTCCTCTTCTTCACTTGTATCATCGTCGTGTGATTGCTTGTCTTTTTGTTCAGCCCCTGCCCATCCCCCCACTACATTTTCCATCAAGGTAGTGAGTTGGTCTCCATTGATACTGTTGGAATGACTGCGAATGGAAGCACCTGCATGTACCAGATCTGCTTCCAAGGTCAATTCCAACAAGGCATTTTCATTCAGCAGATCGTCTGGAATGACAATGGGGGGCATGACAGAAGATGGAATGTCTGTAGTAGTATTGAGGGTGGTACCAGCGTGCCACACACTGCTGCTCATGCTGACATCCGACTCCCTGGCGGCAGCTGCACTGGCACTGCTGCTGTTTGGTTGTTGTGCCAATGATTGACCCTTGGCATTCCAACTCATTCTTGAGTAGGATTTGCGCCATTCACTCTTGACGGAAAGGTCGGCGCTCTTTGGTTTTTGAATGCGGGCATGTCGGACAATCAACGAGCCAAAATCGGTAATGGTATCACTAGTGCCACTGGAAGAGTCGGGCAGTAGCTTGGCGGTCATGTCAGGATCTCCGGAAACTTGAAGGATATTGTCGACCGTGGTGTCCAGATACCCCATGGAAATGGGCAAGCTGATTTTGTTCTTGTCTGTACTTTTGCTGATATCGGGTTTGGAATAGACCCGAATTCGAATGGGTCGATGGGTATCATTCTCGCAGAGTTGAAAGAGCGGAATGACGGCCTGTTTCCATCGTGGACGAGCACCTTCCTTCAAGTCTGGAATCGTTTCGGAAGTGTACACTGTCGTCCATTCCACAGGACCACTCTTGTTGCCAGTACACGAAGCAAACGAGACGACTGGATTCGTAGACTCAAACCACCCAGCCACACAGGGCAAATTCAACCCTTCCAGGATCACATGCAGTTGCGAGCCATCGTCTTCTGCCTTACCCAGAAAGCCCACAGCAAGGGACATGGTTTCTGCAACCAATATCAAAACAATTCAGTCACTCAATATCAATCGTTATCCCCTCGTTCGATCTGGCTCTCGCTAGCTAGCTATGGATAGCTACCATGCATCATCTCATCATCTCTATCGCTTTGGTTGTTGTGTTTGTGGATATTATGTGTCTTGGACAGTTGTCGCCGCCGTTGTTTGTGAGTTCCCAACACTCCCAAAATTTGCCTGTGTTTGTGACCAACATTTATGGTGACGAGAGTCACTCGACAACCTGGCACCTGGCACATCACAGGTTGTTAAATGATTTGTTTCCGAACGAATGCTTTGTTAAGTCTCACTTTAGTTAGTTGAGAAAAGACGCACAGTTTTCAACTCAACAGACGACTCGACTGAGACTCTGTGTTTGGGTCAACCCCCCTCAGATAAACGTCCTTCCCCCCTATGTTAGCCAGTAGAATTAACTTCAAAACTCCAATGGCTGCTTTCATGTTATGCAGCAAAGCGCACAGTTGAGATCTGGGCTACACCAAACCTGGGCCCCTGGCTCAGCCAATTACAAAACGAAGTTGAGCTATCTCTGCTGCTGGTCTTCTGTGCCCTATCTGATGGCCAGACACATGCTTCTAGCTAGTGTCTATCCTTGTCGCTAGCTGGTCTCCCCCTACCCTGTAGTTTGTGGCTACGTGAATGCTCAGCTAAGCCTGGCTTTGCTCAAACAGAAAACCTCTGCTTGTATGACTCTCATGTCTCTACTGGATTTTGATCTTTGGGCAGCTCTGTCTGTATGCTGCTCATTCACACTCTTCCCGCAAGTTCCATCCACTGCCCCATGCCCAGTACCCCTGATCTAACTCACATCCTATATAGCTACAGTAGCCTGTAACTAGTCTGACCCAAACCATCCAGAAGTGAGGACAACTAGCTAGTAAACTATCTTAGAAAGAGGATAGTGCAGCCCCTGCTCATCAACATGTTGGCACTCTAGCTAGCTAGGACAATCACATGGCTCCAACAGTTCTGGGCAGGTTCATTACATAAAACCTCTCCAATTCTGTTTCCCAAGCATCATTCTGGATCTTCAAATGTTAGTATCCATTCCCACACTTGTCATTTTGCAAGAATAGAGATTGGAACTTCAGAATCTAACTATAAGACTTAGAATAGTGCTTGAATAGCTAGCTAGTCTAAAAATCACCGGTACTGGTACTCCTCTCGTACAATCCACTGCTGGACGCACAGTTCTCCTTTTACTTCGATGTTTGAATTTTGAAAGCACCCAGGCTCGCGCTCTTGGCGGTCGGCTGCATCTCATTCAAATCGACCACAGAATATTCTCACAACTTCACTTCGAAGCAAAGAAAAACCCATTTGAAAAGCATCAAGCATCAATAACAAACAACAAACTCATCACCATGTCGTACAAGGAGAATATCATCGAGTCCATTCAGGAACTCAAGGACCGCACCGGCTCCTCCATGATTGCCATCAAGAAAGTCATGCAGGAGAAACTACCCAAGGACAAGAAATGGCAAAACCGCATCTTTCTGAACGCCCTCAAGTCGATGGTGGCCGCTGGCGACTTGGTCCAAGTACGCCAACAAGGATGGAGTCGTCGTCATGTTGTTGCCTTCTTACATTGCTCGTCACGTTACTAACTCAGCCGTCCTCTCTCACCTTTTAGAACAAGGGATCCTACAAGCTCAGCCCCGATTACAAGAAGAAGCTTGCGAAGAAGCCAGCCGAATCGAAGAAGGAGAAGCCTGCCGCGAAGGCCACCAAGAAGAAGACCACCACCGCCGCAAGCAAGAAGACGACCACTGCCGCCGCAAGCAAGAAGAAGACCACGCCGCCAAGGCCGAAAAGCCCAAGAAGGCGTCCGCCAAGGTATTTATTATGTTGACGATGACTGAACAATGACATTCTTGCTGCCACTTCTGAATCAATCAAATCTGACACCATCTTCTTGCTGCTTTCCTCTTGCAGAAAACGGAGACCAAGCCCAAGAAGAAGGCCGCCGCCACCAAGAAGAAGACCACCGAAACCAAGCCCAAGAAGAAGACGCCGGCCAAGAAGCCCGCCGCCAAGAAAACCACCACCAAGGTACGGCAATAGTCACCTTTGACGATGATGACGCGATATGGGTCGACGAACACCTCACATTCTTCAATGCTTCTTAGAAGAAGACGACCAAGAAATAAGCGTGCTATGAAATAAATAGCAAGCCACACACAAAAAAACCAACCGGATATTCTTATATCCACCCTCTTCGCAAAGACCACGCATGCCACGACGAACACTCTCCGATGGAACGATCTGTGGGGCTGTGCAGATCTACTAACACTTGACCATGTGCCAGTTGAATGGAGCGCTCCAGCTGATTGAGCTCTTGTATGAATATTACAGTATATACCGGTAGCCAATCGCAACTACTATTAACTGTAAAGACTGTATTGTATTAACTCTGTGCATGACCCTGTATAACTACCGTATGGTACGGTACCTAGCTAGTAGCGAACTTATCCGACTGAGCGCGACTGTCAGTGCATCACTCGGGCAAACTGGCTTCAGTTCTTCTTTACCACCATGATCAAGGCTAAGATGCAGCACGCGTTTACGTTGAGTTAAGACAGCTGTTAAGACGATAGAAATCGAAGGCTTGGGCGCTTCGTACGTGTTGCGTTTACGCTCTATCATTCGATCTTCTTGATTCGATTCGATTCATTAGTCTAGTTCACTTTGGGCCAGTCGAGCTGTCAGTCATGATGTCATGATATACCTGGAAACTTGACCGCCAGCCAGAGAAACTCGACCGGTGGAGTGTTGCCTTACTACTGACAAGTTCAAGTCACCTTCACCCAGAATCCCTTCATGACGCCAAGCCCACAACAGAGATCGACTAAGATGTTACCGATTTGATGACGACGGAGCCGATGGAAGCCTCCTCTTTCCTCCAAAACTGCGCTTCGAGCATACTACTCCTTCGACCAAATGCATCACTTGTCACAGTCGAATTGAATCTCAGTCAACCGAAGAGACGCCTTTTGAGAAATCAAGGAGCCACCGTTGGTCGACGCAACACGCCACTTTCTCTAACAACGCGGACGATAGCGCGGTCGTGCAGCCCTTTGGGAGCAGCAACGAAACGGTGACCTTTCGATGCCTACAGCAAGTCATCTTTGGTCGCCGCCTGCATAAAGGATCCGACCGTGGAAAGTCGACAAGTATATCGTCTTGCCCATTTTCACTGTACGGACGACATGTATTGTTGAGCCTTACCAGTGACGCTCTGACTGAGAGCCGCTTTTTCAAAGCATCCTTGGGTCCTTGGAAGGGAGATTCCCTCTACCTACTTTGCTTAGCACGACCTACCTTAGCTACGGGCGGCCTTGCTACTGTATTCCTTCCTTATCCATCGTTTGGAGCAAAGTCAGTCGTCTGCTGTTCAGCTTTGTCCTCCATTTGAAAAAGTTCTTTCAGGCTCTGACGCCAGATCCAAGCACCAACGCAACGCAGAAAGAATCCCTGGAGGACTGTCACTCTCATTTAGTTCTTCTTGGACACTGATGATTGTTCGTTTTCTTCAGAAGAGCAGAAGGCACCAAGTTTTTCGGTTTTGTCATGCATGGAAGTCCCCATCGATACACTCAGTCTAACTTCCATTCCAGGAAAGATCTTCGACATGTTGGAATGCAAAGACTACATGTACCAGCCCCTTCAAACAATATCAGTGTAGCTATCAGTGTTAGGATGATGACCTCGACCTTTCGACAAGCTCCCAAACAGGAGCAGAGAATACAGTCGTACACAGTGAGCGCGTGGCTAGAGGTATGGCGAGGGATCGTCATCCAAGGCATGCAGCAATACTACAGCAGTGACGATGCGATATCATGGTACGATGTACCGTGCAATCGCATCATGAGGAAAGATCAGGATCCACATGGAATAGAAGAGACTCCCACGTAGCCTAGCTAGGTCCACCCGAGAGTTATTTGAGGATCGTCCTCCCAAGGACATACCGCAGTTGAGGATTGGCTAGCTTGCTTTTAGGGTATGGAAGCTCACTTGAGTTGTGGTTTTCACTTTGGCTGCGTCTTCCGAACATGGTGGTGGTGTGGTACAGTCGTACTGGTAGCAAATGGGAAACGTGAGGAGTCGCCGGTGCGGACGCACCAAGTCTTGGGTTTTGTCATTCCTCGCAGTACAATTAGCACATTACGTTTGCAACAGATAGCTGAAAAGAGAGACCATGACATGGATAAGCATCATAGATAGCGGCAATCTGCCAACACTACAGTACTAGCTAGCAGCACTACGCGGTATTGCGATGGTAAAAGCAGCTAGCTAGTACATTAAAAAAGCTTATATAAAAATGATTTGGGTGGTCAGCGTCCAAGTCAAAGCGGAATCATGGTACCTACCCGTCCCATCCAATGCCCCATGGTGATAGCCCAAACACGATATCCGAAAGGAGGTATGACATGGAATGTTTTTGTGCTTTGTTTGGAAGGGTGGAATTAAAAAATTCCTGTTTGTTTGTTTTTGTCATTGTATCATGGTCAGCTTAGCCTCCAAATCCGTAAAGGGTCTTTCCCTGACGCTTGAGGGCGTAGACGACATCCATGGCCGTCACAGTCTTGCGACGAGCGTGTTCCGTGTAGGTTCTGTAGGACAGTGAGATATGTGTGTGAGCGGCTAACAACGTCATTGGCTTGCATCGGCGGCACTTGGTGTTTCACTTACACAGAATCACGAATGACGTTCTCCAAGAAGACCTTGAGCACTCCTCTGGTTTCTTCGTAGATGAGACCGGAAATACGCTTCACACCACCACGACGGGCAAGACGACGAATGGCGGGCTTGGTAATACCTTGGATATTGTCGCGCAATACCTTCCTGTGACGCTTGGCTCCACCTTTTCCAAGTCCCTTTCCTCCTTTTCCACGGCCGCTCATGTTGGTAGTTGTTTTGTTGTTGATGCAAATAGTCCAGTTGCTCGGCAACTAGATTGTTTTGTTGTTGGTTTTGTTGTTTCGCGTTTGCGAGTTGTGAGAAGAGAGCGGTGAGACAGAAGATGGTTGCTGATGAAACACTTCAGGGTTCCTTTTGCTGTTGTCGGCGGCAATTCAAGCCTGCCGTCCTGAGCGAAAAGGGCGCACGAAATAGAAACTTCTAGAGTGAAACTTTTGACCGCTGAATACACACCTTTGTAGTCAAGGAACACTGCCTAACGCGTAAGGTTTAGCGTTGAATGGCTCTAGAACATGGTTCACGCCCGGCTTAACCGCCAAGATTTAAACCTAACCAAATTAAACCCAGCAGAGTTGTGAGGTATTCGATTCGAAGCAAAAACTGGCCCTTGCGTTAGATCGTCTTTCGAATTTCTCCTCTCTAAGTAATTCAAATCGAAGCACTCGAATTCAAACGTCCCGCGTGGAGTGGCACGATCGTGATCGATGGAGCCACTTCGCTGCATCCAACATTTCGTCTCATCCCTCCATCGTGTTCTCACAAATCAGCAGAAGCAACAAGTTTCTTCTTCGCTCATCAATAGTTTGACATCGCATCGCAACCATGGCTCGAACCAAGCAAACCGCCCGTAAGTCCACCGGAGGAAAGGCTCCACGCAAGCAGTTGGCCACCAAGGCTGCTCGTAAGAGTGCACCTGCCACCGGAGGTGTCAAGAAGCCCCACCGATACCGCCCTGGTACTGTCGCCCTTCGTGAGATCCGTCGCTACCAAAAGAGCACTGACCTCCTCATCCGAAAGCTTCCCTTCCAGCGTCTTGTCCGTGAGATTGCTCAAGATTTCAAGTCCGATCTTCGTTTCCAAGGATCAGCAGTGTTGGCTCTTCAAGAAGCGGCCGAAGCCTACCTTGTCGGTCTCTTTGAAGATACCAACTTGTGCGCTATCCACGCCAAGCGTGTTACCATCATGCCCAAGGACATTCAGTTGGCCCGTCGCATCCGTGGAGAGCGCTCTTAAGTTGCTTTCCAACACAACAAAAAAAAAAAAACGGATTTTATAAAATCCACCCTTTCCACAAAGACCCATGGATATTCTGATGCGGTTGACAGTGTTGTTGCTGCGTGTGGCTGTTTTGTTGTTGACCCGAAATGATAGTGTTTCGAACGATGGGGATGCACGATGAAGGGGTATGTATAAGCGCGGGAATTATTGCGTCTTTATTATTTCTGTATGTTTACTTGATGATGCCAGGTAGCGAATAACTGATCGCACATCATTTTCCGGCTCCCATTGATGTATAACTATTAGATCTAGTTAGTAATGTACTGTACGTGTAGTTATTATTGTCTCCGTCAATCAAGCATAGTTTGTGCGGCTCACAACCGAAGCTGCCTGGTCACTCCACGCTGATGGGACAACAGTTGTCTTGTAACATCGTCCTAACGTTGGCCATGTCCCTTCGGAACTCGTCTACCAGCTTGTTGCCCAATTCTTCCGTTGTCGTGTGCGATGAGCTGCTGTCGCTGTGGCTCCCATTATTGTTTCTTCCAGACGGGAAAAAGTTGATGTCAACTTGTTGTCGCCCGTCCCACCAAATGGCCAAAGCGCCCCGTACAGTCAACGCCACCTGCAGGAATCCATCCCCCACGGCAGACCCCATCACTTTGGCCGACTTTTCGTTGTCGAGCATTGCCACTGCCCGCTCAAACGATTTCCGGAGCTCGGATCGGGTGAGCACAAAGTCAGAAGGGGAGGAATGGTCTGTGGATGTTCCCATGCCTTCTTGACGACGTGAATTGGTCACCTCCAATTGATGAATAATGGCATGGTACCCACCAGTTTGGGACGTGGATTGTAGCTTCGAATCATGATTGCACTGGGAAGAAATGCGATCATCAACATCATTATCAGCGCCGTGAAAACAGTCGCTGTCCAAAATTGATGGACCCTCCATTATGTCTTCTTGGTTTGAACAAATACGATTCCGAGCCATGAAGCCAAAAACCCCTCCAGCTACATGCTGATAGCAAGGCGTCATTTGACTTCCCAAACCCAATGCTTTTTTGACGGCCTGTAGTTGTCCCATGTTGTCCCAAAGGTGGGCGACAACAAAAACGCCGTTGTTGTTGTTGTTGCTGTTGCTGTTGCTTGGGGAGCGTGCGATAATGTATCCTTCTCTCATCATCCAAGCTACCGTATGCCGACCCTTTGGAAAGGACTTTGTTGTTTCAACCGAAAAGCCGCGGTTTCGAAGGGCTACCGTCACTTCTTGCTGGTAACTGTCCATGTCCCGGAACACCATCATCTCGTCTGCATCTACTGCCCAAATCATCAACATTCCCGGACTGCTAGTTTGGTTTTCTTCTGCCAAGCTCAGACATTCCTCCACGTCGCCACCAAAGAAAGAGTCGCTTGCCAAGTTGGTAGAAGAAAGCATGCACTGGAAACTGTTCTCGTGAGATTCCTCCACATCCCTTCGGCCGGCACTCAGTGTCGCATCGACCACTGACGAGAGCGAGATGTCTGCTTCAAAGCAACAGGCTACACGATACGATAACAACAGAGATCCAAGGCCAAGAGCCCGGTTCAGAAAAGACACCATGGTTCAAGAAATCTCTTCGTCACTCTCAGGAAGAAATGAGAGTGAGAAAATGGGACCAGTCTTTTCTGGCGCTCAATAATATGGTACCCCTTATATCTTTGATGCCAGCTGCTGACACACGAGGTGAAACCACGACAGGAGTTATTACCGGTGTTCATGTCGTCATTTCATTCCACAATCAATACTTCGCTTTCCATTAGCTAGCTAGCTACCCAGTGGTGGGACCGGTACTAATGGTGTGTGGGAGGGTTCTTCTTCTCGGCTGTGGGACCAGGAGTGGGGCACGGTGTACTTTTACGGTACGTTGAGGACCTTTTGTTGGTCCAGGAGTAGGGCAAGTTGAGGGTCCATTAGTGTTGCGGAAGTAGGTCCAGGGCTACTGTGTTGTAGTTGGTTAGTTGAAAAGTCAAGCAAACTGGCAGTCTAAGAAGCTCTTAGTACCGGTAGTACAGTACAGCAGAGCAGTGACGCCAATCTGCATCCCATCATGTCCTCAGCAAGATGCTTTGATTTGGAGAAAGCGGTGCGTGGTCCTGACTTTACGGAATCCTAGCTAGACAATACATGCAGGTTCCATCCTATCAATGCAAATGATGATGGGTTGGGAAGTCTCAAGCGGATTCTACATTACAGTTCTGCTTCTCCTTTTCATTGCTCTACCAGAGGGTGTATCTCACCATTCCAAATTATCGTAATACTTCTAAAATTCGCCTCTCCTTGCATCTTCCAATACGCATGTATAGTTACGCTGTACCTTTTCACAGCATGGACGGGGTCACAATCACTTGAACCTTGCCATCAGACTTTTTCTCAGAAGCCGAATTACTAATGGCCTCTGGCAACTTGTCAAATTCAAACTGGGTTCGGATAGTTGTCTGCATTTCGGGAGTGGCCATCCATTTTTGTAGCTTGCTCATCAATGGCAACATCTGGACGGTCCACAAAGCTTTGGCTTCATCGCCGGCATTGAAGGCTTCAATGCGCTTCTGATAAAGATGGTTGACGTCGATGGTGAGCTTTTTGCTCACAATCTCACTATATATGCTCACGACGGAATGAAGGGGTAGTGCCTTTAAAAGCGATCGGGCATATCTCCGGCCAACCCGTCGTAGGCAAAGTGGCAGTTGGTCTCTTGAATGGCCTGTGAGAGTTGTTGGTCAAAATCTGGATCCGATAGGTTCAAAACGACTTTGGCCCCATCGGCTTGGCAGAGTTCCTTTTGGGCATCTCGACGGACGAGAGCAATGACATTAATGCCCAGAGACTTGGCGTGTTTGGTAAAGAGCCGCCCCAAGCTACCCGCCCCGACGGTATTGACCACTGCTTTGTGTCCACCCTTTTTGAGATTTTGGACCATGAGCAAAACCGAAAAGGCGTTGGTGACGGCAGCCGCTGCTGTACTATAGGAAACTCCGGCTGGGATGGGTGTGACGGTTAGAGCATCGCATACCAGATATTCTGCCAAGGCACAGGATTGGTCAGAATAAAAGGCCACACGAGACCCGACCTTCAATCCAAGATAGAACGAAGCTTTACTGGCCACAACTTTGCCCGATCCTTCGAACCCAACACCACGGGGTATTGGTATATCTTTCGTGTTGACGTACGCATTTTCCAAATGCAATACGTCTTCATGATTGATGGTGCAGCAAGCCACTTGGACCAAGATTTGGCCTTCCTTGATAGTCGGAACTTGCTCTTCCTCGAGTGACAGACTCTCTTCAATGGATTTTGCATCTTTCGTGTCTTTCACTTCACTTTTCATACGCCAAACTCGATGCGTTGTTGGTAGGCTTGGGTCTGCCATCGTACTTATTCCAGCTGTATTTTAAGCTTGTCAGATCTGATATTATAACAAACCCAACAGCCAGGAAGAGTGGCAACAGAAGAAGGAGAAGAAAAATGAGATCCCAAAGGTGCGAACCCCGATCTTTTTTGAGATCTCGAGGGAGGTAGTGACGTCATTTTGTTGGATGGAGCTTTCTGACTGCGCCGTACGGTACCGGTGGCGGGTGGGACCAATGCTGCTGCAGATCGCAGAACGCAGAAGGAACGGAGATCCAATTTTTGCTCATTTCGTCGACGTCCACCAAACAAGGCATCAATCCAACAACAAGATGACGCTTTGTTGATGTCTTCAATTCAAAACAGCGTAGGTTTCATTGCCTTCGGAGCTTGAAGACTTCAGAAAGCCGACCACAGTCCCTCGTCGCTGCAACTGGCGCACACTATTCACACAACGAACTCAGGTACCGTATGAGACTAGCGCCCAGCAGAGGGTCCACGAAGGCGCAGCAAAGCCACAGAAGCATTTGTCAACTATGGATGGCGTTGAAGACTCCAATCAAACAAAAGAGTGTTCTCATGAGTACGCACTTCATTCCAGAAGCGTCCCCAAGGTCATCAAAGCAGCACGTAGACCTCACGCCACCCTTCATTCACGACCTCGATTGATGGTCTTGATAACTCTTACGGAGTCAAGGCGTGTCGTCTAAGAAAGATTCTCATCGCAGAACGACTGCGACAGCCAAAACGAAGAGCTACGCTGTCCAATCCGCCCATGTTCCAACTCGGCTGGCAACTGATGCGAGGGCTGACAACCCAATGGAGGAGCCTACCTTGCTTTGCCCCGGAAGATATGCCTCCCCTAATCACTCGGAATCCTTACGTCGTCCACATTCCCACGTTGAGAATGGTCCAGGTATGGATGTGCCCCCGCAGCAGGTGATCGTGCCATCGTCCAGGCGAAAAAGAGACTCACACATACCAACCACTTGAACTTTCATCATGGGGACTTGGATGATGATGGCAATAAGGACAGGGAATCCTTGACAAATCGCATCGACTGGAGGGAGCTAGAACGACACCAGAAGCATTCGAAACGCTGGATGGAAGAAAAGGAATGCTTATTCTCCAACGAATACATCTCCCTGGACCGGAGGCACAGCTGGCCGGCTCCAACAACGCAATGCAAACAGCCAATAGCAGCAGTGCACCTCCCACCCAAGTAGGAATGTTCCAAATTCCGGAACCTGCCCCTGATTTGACGCCATTCAATGTGTTTCCCAGCTGCGCGGGATAGCACAGCAAACAACGCGAGCAACAGCAACGACAACCCTAGAACCGGAGCTGTGAAGATCCCTACTCGGGGGGACTTGTCATTGAGGCACGAGTTGTCGAGGATGACGACGACGATCGGCACTCATCACGAAAAGTCAGTGGTTTGCGTAGGCAAATGTGCTTTGGGTTTGTTTGCATGTTTGCCTTGCTCGCCATGGGGACTGCTGGGGTCGCCCTGTTGGTGTTGAACCAGTTAAACGTGTCGTCTTCCTTGACTCCAACCGCTACACCCCAACCCACTGGTCTCACGAAGCAGCCAGCGGTCCCTCCCACTCTCACACGAGACCCATCATATGCCCCGTTCACCGCACCTCAAACCCCATGGCCCACCACCTCGCCTCCCACTACAAGGCCTGCAGTTACGCCCCTTACCACTATCTCACCCACGGCAAGATCATCAACCACGACAAATCCAACGCTGAGGCCTACC